ATTCTTCCACCACACTCACCTGGTTTCTGGTCACTCCTTTTCAGTCTAATTTTCTGGTTTTCCTCATATTCCTAAACTCCAAATATGGAAGATTCCCCAAACACATGCCTTATTCCTCTTGTTTCTCTCTCCACTCATGCAATGGGTGATTTCATAAGACTATCTATGGGCTTAAGACTTGAGACTTCTCTCTTGATGCCATACATGAATATTCAAATGCCTACTTGAAAACATTGCTTAGCTATCAAGCTGGTATTTCAAACTTAACATGAAAAAGTTCCTACCTCTTTCTCTTTCTCAAGTCTTTCCAGTCCCATTAAATGGCAATCCAATCCTTCCAGCTACTCAAGCTATAGCTTTGGAGTCATTCTTGAATCCTTTCTTTTTCTCACACACTACATCTCACCCACCAGCAAATTCTATCAGCTATTCCTTCAAAATATAAGCAGGGGTCCAGCCATTTCTTTCCACATCCACTGCTACTGTAGGGAGCTGCTATAGGGTTAAGCCTCAGATTGACCTGTTGGCAAAGCCACAAACAAGTCCCAGTTTAGAGGGCACAGTCCTCTTAGAACAATTAGGCTTTACCTTATGAGGCTCCCTAGATCTTATCTGAGTAGCTAATGGGCTGTGGGAGGTGCAGCAAGTGCTGCCAAAACAAGTGAAACTCACAAGAACAGTGTAACTATGGTGACCACTACCTTCTTTACCTCTAGCTATAAAATAAAGGCTCAACTTGTCTCTGGATCTCACTCTGTGGCCTCAGCCAGGCGCAGGAAGATCCACCTAGACCAGGGGTGAGCAAACTTTTTGACTTGAGGGCCACAATGGGTTCTTAAACTGGACTCAGAAGAAGGAGCTGTGGCCATGTTTCCATGTTAACACTGCTGCTGGTGAAGGAGCGGAGGGGAGAGCAAGAGAACCCTCCGCTCTTTCGGCTCCGCGGGACGGATAGAACAGCCGAACGGGCCGGATCCAGCCCACGGGCGGTAGTTTGCCCACGGCTGACCTAGACCCAGCTTATTCTCTTTGTCTTTTCTACATCCTTCACGCACCCCGCCCCCACCCCTCAGGCTCACCAAACCCTTGGCTGAGCTGACCTGGCATAGCTACCATCGTCTCCTACTTGAATTATTTCAGTTGCCTCTAACAACAGTCAAAATCCATGCTGGAAACAGATGGCATACCCAAGTGGAATGGCTGAGACTTTAATAAAGGGACTATTTACAAAAATGTGGACAAGACTGAAGGAAACTAACAAATGATGGTCAAGTGTTCTGTGTCTAGCAAGGCAGAGAGAGCCAATGGAGTCGGTACTATCCTTAGACCTGAGGGAGCAAGGAGTGGTAGTAATTACCTGAACAACACACGCACACGCACACACGCACGCACGCGCACACACACACACCAGGAACTGGATTCTTCAGGGACAACCACCAGAAAGAAAAATGGAGAAATGAAGACCATGAACTCACACTCCTCCTCCCTTCTGATCTCAGACAAAATGAATCCCAAGGCAGAAGGCAGAGAGAGCTCACTAAGGTCGGCCTCCTAGCTTCATGTGCTCATTTGGGACACAGAGCAGAATGGAAATCGGTAGAGAAGGGAACTGGAAGAGAAAACAGTGTACCTGGCAAAATGTCATCATCTGCAAAACAGAAAGAAGTATCACTGTCACTGAGTGAATTTAAATCATCTACATAAAGCATTTAGCACAATGGCGGACACATAGTTTTTAGGGAACAATACCAACTCTTATTTGCCCAGCATCATATTTCCAAGTGTGGATTTTTATGGAGAGATGACTTTCAAACTTCAGACCATAACCAATTAGGGGTTGTGAATTTAATGGGTTTCTCAGCATTTTTTTTTTTTTAAGAAATAGAAAAGACCAGCATGCATATCATGAAGAAAAAATGTTGCCTCAAAAACATTACTTTCAATTAAATTCCATTTAAATACACGTTAAATTCATTGTGTACTTATATGTGCATGTGTGTGTTTATGAGTATGTTCAAGTATATATTCATCCCCTGAGTCATTATGTAACATACACTTCTTATAAAGAATCATGATCAGAATGAACTGGTGATTATAATAGAATCAGGGACATAGAAAGGGAATGGACTGACCATTCTTGCGGGGGAAAGGGGTGTGGGAGATGCGGGAAGAGACTGAACAAAAATCGTGCACCTATGGATGAGGACAGTGGGTGGGGAGTGAGGGCGGAGGGTGGGGCGGGAACTGGGAGGAGGGGAGTTATGGGGGGGGGAAAAGAGGAACAAATATAATAATCTGAACAATAAAGATTTAATTAAAAAAAAAACTTAAAAAAAAAAAGAATCATGATCAAAAACTATTTGAAACCACAGTGCAAGAACACTCTGGCTATGCCTTCTTGCTTCTCATTTATTCCTCACTTACCTGATTGACAAATGTGAGAGGAAAAATTGAGCAGATGTGCTTGGTTCCTTTCTCTTGTGCCTGTTAGTCCCCTGTTTTGTGGGTAGGGAAGGGAATACCAGATTTACATCCATGAGTCAAGGTGTCATGAGAATTGGAAAGGCCTCTGCACAACCACCTGTACTCTGACTTCCCTCCTGATAACAACAGCCACACACTGAGGTATAATTATGTGCAGGACACACTTTTATTTAATCTCTATCCTCACAAAAATTCAGCAAGGTAGTCATCATTGCCCTTGTTTTACAAATGAGAAAAGTCAGGGTTAAAAATAACTTGTCTGGGTCACACAACTAGTAAGTGACACAGCCAGGTAGAACATCTAGTTTGATTTGCCTCCAAAAAAGAGAGCTATCTCCACTTAATGTACCCCCTGCATAGCCCATCCCTGGCTCCTTGGGGCTGGGCTTCTGTATGGTATCCTGTTCCTCAAGCAAGCTGCATGCCATAGTTTGTATATACAAAAAAAAAACACAAAAAAACCAACAACACATAATAATAAATTTTTTTCAGAAGGCCAATTTGGTCCAAGGTCTTATGCATCACTTATTTCTATTGTGGTTGTTGGGTAAAAGCTAGATAAAAGAAAGGCAAGAAAGGAAGATGTACACTGAACTCTACTGTCTTAGTGCTGAATCATTTGTTGACAATACATTACATTTACAAAAATCTCAGGGTTAGAAAAGCTCTTAGAGATACAAATGCAGAATCTTGTGACAGATGAGGAAAACAAAGCCAATACATTTGCATGCTTGTCGAATAACCAACCAGCTCATCAAAGCAGAATTTCATTGCAATGTAAACAGATTTCTAATACTTTGGGAAGAAACTCCAAACTTATTTTGCTCATCCAAAGATTGCATTGTAAAACTTCCATTATTGTCTCCATTGTTTTTCTCTCCTCAAGCATTTATGTAGGGATATATGAAACTGATGTCCTGTAAAGGCAAAACCACACCCTGCTTTTTATTTTAGGAGAGGGAGAGAGCTGTGAATAGGAACTGTAAATAGCACTTTTTAGTTGTGGGGAATTTTGATATCACATGCTCAGAATATTAGCTGTCTTTGAAGGGGTAATCCCACTATACAAAACAAAACCCCAAACATTGACACAAGGTATTGTCCAGTCACATATTTATTTTTTAAAATATATTTTATTGATTTTTTACAGAGAAAGGGAGAGAGATAGAGACTTAGAAACATCGATGAGAGAGAAACATCAATCAGCTGCCTCCTGCACATCTCCTACTGGGGATGTGCCCGCAACCCAGGTACATGCCCTTGACCGGAATCGAACCCGGGACCCTTCAGTCTGCAGGCCGACGCTCTATCCACTGAGCCAAACCGGTTTCGGCAAGTCACATATTTAAATAAATAAAAAATTTTAATAAAAGAATGAGAATTTGCAATCCTTTTTTTCCCCCTGAATAAGTCCTTTTTTAGTGATGAAAAAATAAAATAAAATAATGATACCGAGCAACCCCTGAAACACCCTTTGGCTTTCTGGAACAGCTTCAAGTTTGCTATTCGGGGTTACTACCTATTCATTTGGCTTCATGATGACATGTTTAAGATGACATTACTCTTAACAATTATAAACAAACTAAATGGCATGATCTCACTTACATGTGGAATCCAATGAACAAAATAAACTGATGAACACAATAGGTCCAGAGACATGGACAAATGGAAGAGACTGACAGATCTCAGAGGGGAGGAGGTTCAAGGGAGGGGAAGAGATTACCCAAAGAACTTATATGTATATATGCATAGCCCATGGACACAGACAATAGTGCGGTGAAGGGGAGGGGGGGGGGGGGAGGCGGGCGGAAGCAGGACGGAAGGGGGCAAGGGGAGGAAATGGGAGACATCTGTAATACTTTTAGAAATAAAAATAATTTTTTTAAAAAAAATCGCTGAATGTAGAATCTAATGAAAAAGAAAATCTGATGAATAAAATAAAGCCAGAGACCTAGAAGCATGGAACAAACTGACGAATTTCAGAGGGAAGGCGGGGTGAGGGGGTGGGAGGGGAGTGATTAACCAGGGAATTTATATGCATATTTGCATAGCCCTTAGGCACAGACAACAGAATGGTGAAGGCCTGGGAGGGGCGGGTCCGGGGTGCCGGGGGTCAATGGGAAAAAAATGCAAACACAAAGGGGACATCTGTAATGCTTTCAACAGTAAATACTTAAAAAAATAATTTCTGATAAGTAATAATAAAAAATAAAAGTAATGCAATAAAGAAACACACTAAAAAAAAAGAAATAAATAAACTGCAAATGGAGACTCTGGGAGGGAGGGAAATGCTGGGCAGAGTGCGGCTGCCCAGCATTTCCTCAGGCTCGTCCACGCCATTCTCTGCCCCGGAGGGGTTCCCCAAGGCCCTGGGCCGGGAGCAAACCCCGCAGCTCCGAGCAGCCCCGCGCAGCCCCGCCGCCGAGCCCAGGGAGGCGGGTCCTGCCGCCCATCCACCAATCGGAAGCCGCGTCCCCCGTCTGCCCCCAAGAGCAACCTTGCCTGCCGCCCGCTGTCACCTTTTACGACAGTTTTCCGGCCCAGGTCGCGGCGCCACTACCGAGTGTTGCGGGCGCCCGACCGTGGACGTTGGGTCCCCGCTGGCGGCGCCCTCGCTTTCTGGTAGCGGCGGGGAGCTGTGGCCGCGGCCTTTCGGGCTGGGATGAACCGCGCTCTCGGCGGAGGCAGGGGAGCCGAGCCGGAGCCATGGTGAGTGCGCCCTGTCCCGGGCGATCCCGGGCCCCATGTCAGCCTCAGCTCGCGGCGGGGAGGGGCGCCGCGGGGTGTCTCTCGTGCGACTGTGGGCCGGGTCGGCCTCGGAGTCCCACCGCCCAGGGTGCAAAGCTGGGCCCGCCCCGCCCGGGCCGGTGCTCCTCCGCGGCCCGCCGCCTTCCCGCCCCGCTCGGCGTGGAGACGCACTGGGTCCTGCAGTCTCCCCAGGGCGGCCTCGCCGTACCTGCCCCGCTGTGCGCTCTGTCCCCGTGGCCTTGCCGACTCCGCTCTGCTCTGTGGCCTGGAGGCGGGGCGCTGCCGGAGGGCTCCGTCCGGAAAGCCGGGCTCCTCGGTAAGCCCGCGGTTGGCGAGGACGTGCGTTAGGAGAGATTTGCAGGAACCATCCGGAGGCCGTTCTCTCTCAGCTGCAGCTTTGTTTTCCTTTTGCTTTGAACTTTAATTTCATTTGCTCTGAGGTGAGGGAGGTTTTCAAAGCGAGGGAGATCCTCCTTTTCTTCTTCCGTCGTGAGGTTTTGCAGCGCCTCGGATGTACAAGAGGTAGTGCTCTTAAAGTGATTGGGCAGGATCTTTTCACCCTACAAGGTGTTTCTCCCGTTGAAGTGAACCTTGCCCAGAGTTGGGACGGGAGAAGGGGTGTGATAGGGCCGGTGGGAGTTGGAGAAGTAACATGTGTGCTCTGCTTCCCCTCACCAGGCCAGTACAGTGGTAGCCGTGGGACTGACCATTGCTGCTGCAGGATTTGCAGGTTGGTTTGTGGTTTGGGGACGGAGGTGAAGTAGGGGAGGTTGAGGACTTTTTAATTATTCTATTACTTTTTGTTTTTAGGCCGTTATGTTTTGCAAGCCATGAAGCATATGGAGCCTCAAGTGAAACAAGTTTTTCAAAGTCTACCAAAATCTGTAAGACTTCCTAAACATTTTTGCTAATTCTTTGCTGCCTGTATATGAAAACTAGAATTACATTTAAAGAGGGTAAATTTCCAAACATCTGTGAAGTTCTAAGTGATTACTTTGAGGGTCCCTTCTGCTTTCTACAAGGCGAGTTTAGAAGTTCTGAACTTTGTAGGTGCTACCCTAAAAAGTCAGATTTTGTGCGTAACAGAATTGGGACAGAGGTGTTAACAATCTTAGCATCACGAAAGTTACTATCACTTTATTGTTGACACACTATTAACTTCAGCATTATCTGTCCACATCCCCCCGCCCCCCTTGCATCACAGACACAGGCACCTAGAGCTCTGACGTGATCCATTTTCACTGTCAGTCCTGGCACACCCTAACATACTTAGGAAGCACTGCAGTTTACTAGGCTATAGACCAGCGGTTCTCAGCCTGTGGTTGCGTATGACCCCTTTGGGGGTCGAACGACCCTTTCACAGGGGTCGCCTAAGACCCTCGGAAAACACATATATAATTACATATTGTTTTTGTGATTAATCACTATGCTTTAATTATGTTCAATTTGTAACAATGAAATTGGGGGTCACCACAACATGAGGAACTGTATTAAAGGGTCGTGGCAGTAGGAAGGTTGAGAACCACTGCTATAGAAGATGCCTGGATGGGATGTAATGACACCATCTGTGGTCACAGATCAGAATGAATATGGTTGTGACAGTTTGCTGAGCATCATGATTGAAAAGAGGGTGATGGTAGGCTTTACAAATATTTCTTACATAATAAGGTCAGAAGACCTAATAGCCTGATTTTTCTCCATATATATATCTTAATCTGAACCACTTGTCTTAAAGATCTCTAAATCCTCTTGAGGGACTTGTTCTACGACATAGTCATACTATTTTTATGTAGAACATGGCTAACGTGGAATCTTTCCTTCACTCCCAGAAAAACTGGCTTTGAGGCACTGTTCTTTTGTCGTACATTTTCAAGACAGTTTAGGTTGTCTAGGGAAAAAAATGGATATTTGATGATCATTAAAATATTTGTTGCTACTTATAAAGCTAAAGTACAAGTTATCGGAAATGTCTTAGTTTTCCTAATTCTATGGACATTCACAGACATTATTTTTAGCAACTCAGTTTATTCTAATAATCTTTTCTTACTAATGCATTTCCTCTTTCAGGCCTTCAGTGGTGGCTATTACAGAGGTGGGTTTGAACCCAAAATGACAAAACGAGAAGCAGCATTAATACTAGGTGTAAGGTAAAATAGCTTCTAATAATTTTTATATTTTCTACAACTCTAGAGCTATCAATAAATGTAAGAAAAACCTTTGTTCATTAGGAAGGAATTATTTGTATCATGTCTATTTTAACATCTAAACACTCCCTACAAAATTCCAATGAGATGCACATTGGCACATAAGCACTTAATTCATTGAAAGATGAATGTGCAACAGATAATAACAGTGCTCAGTGTTGTTCTCTGTAAGTTTTTGTGGGGAAATTCTGCCTTCATTCCCACATTCTTAAACATTCTTTCCAACAGAAGGACTGTTGAAATGAATATTTTCAAGCTCTATTAAATTTTTGAGAATTCTAATTTTTCTAAGGAACTGTTTACTTCCGAGTCAAAATATTCATCTTGTGTGATAAGGAAGAGGTTCCTAAACAGTTTCACACTGTTGTGTTGACTTACTCTAGTTTTGCATCTTTTTTTTTTTTTTAAATATATTTTATTGATCTTTTACAGAGAGGAAGGGAGAGAGATAGAGAGTTAGAAACATCGATGAGAGAGAAACATCGATCAGCTGCCTCCTGCACACCCCCAACTGGGGATGTGCCTGCAACCCAGGTACATGCCCCCGACCGGAATCGAACCTGGAACCTCTCAGTCCGCAGGCCGACGCTCTATCCACTGAGCCAAACCAGCTTCGGCTAGTTTTGCATCTTTAATTGCCCTTTATGTACAATTTTTTTGTGATCCAGTAGTAGTCTGAAATACCACCTTTTCCTTTTTAAATTAGCCCTACTGCCAATAAAGGAAAAATAAGAGATGCTCACCGACGAATTATGCTTTTAAATCACCCAGACAAGGGTAAGTAGTCATTAAACTCTTCATATGCATGTTGTAGTGACTTTGTAATTGTTACTAATGGGATAATTTATATCTAATTCTTGTCCTATGATAAGGGAAGTGCCTAAATCTGTGTGTGAGCACTGTCTCCCAGGCTGGATCCATTTGTCTTAAAATGAATTCTGAGTGAGAAATTTACTTATAATGAGTAGATATCTAATAACTACTAGAATTTGGAAGTAGTGATAAGCATTAACAATGTTTTGAGGATCTGCGATTGTAATAAAATTTGATTTCTAATAGTCAAATTCTCCTGGCATTTGGACTACATTTTTAAATATTCAATTTCAGTTAATGAGACCAAAAGTATGAATTTATTCCTTTAGACCTTTGAACTTGAGTTTACATAGTTAGAAACCTATAGAATGTATCAGTTTCTGATACACTTCTAAGAAGCTTTATCTGTGTTGAAGTAATTCCTTGGAATGCCAAAATATAGACCACAAAATCTACATTATAGTGCTCAACCCCTTTTATAAGGAGAGGCCTTTCATTAAAAGGTCTTTGAGTTAAAACACAGTTGCAATTTTTTGGTATCTGACTGCATAGCCTTTTATGAAATTTAGTTTGTATTAACTGGAGGGCTTCTGATTAAAGTCTAGGGTGGAGCCCATAAATTCACATTTCTACCAGTCTCATTGATGCTGATGCTGGTTGGTCTAAGGACCACACTTTGAGAATTAGTCCTTCAGCAGATTAGTAGGAAAAAAACTGTATATAACATTGTAAAGGGACAATAACAGGAAAAGAAAATATATGAAGGGCAAAAAAAGGATCTAAAGCAAAGTGAGGCCTTTCCAACAAAGCTCAGAAGCCTCTGAGAATATCAAGGTTTTAAAATAACAGAGCACAATAAATTTCTGTTCATTTATGACTTGTAATCATCAGTATAGGTAGGTAACTTACATTATTTCAAAGTTATGTAAGTCTATATAGGTTTTGTGAAATTCTATTCGTCATCAGTTTAAACTTCTTTAAAAGTTGCTGTTTTTGTGAAATCTCATTTCCCATATATGGCAATATATGTGGTTATCCAGTCCCAGTATCGTAATTATTTTTTGGAATACTTTTTCTGCTAATTGCACCTCTCATAAGCATGGGAAGCCTTGAAATGAGAATAGCTTTTCACCAGTCAGAAACTGAGACTCCATCTAATATTTCTTCTTTTTCCCTATAGGAGGATCTCCTTATATAGCAGCCAAAATCAATGAAGCTAAAGATTTACTAGACGGTCAAGCCAAAAAATGAAGTAAATGTATGGTGAATTTAAGTTGTTAGTCATGTATATGAAAACAGCTTTTTATAATAAATGTCCTGAAGCTACACATTTTAAAAATGATTTAGCACAAACTAAGTCAAAGCCTTGGTATAAGTTTATTATTCAAATTTGAAGATTCTAAATCAAATTATAGAATATCTGGAAGTTAATGCTCAATAATTATGGATACATACCATTTGAATAGAAACACTGTTCTATCATTACTCATTTAGTAAATAATTGGTATTTACTTCAAGGCACAGTGAACATGAAAGTCTGCTCTCAAGGAACCCCAATCTGATAAGAACCACACACTAGTAATTAAAATGCAATGTGATACATATTATGATGGAATTAGTACAGGCTGTTACAGTACGTTAGGAGGACAGACTGTCAAGGTATAGAGAGCTGGTTTAGTTGCTTAAGACTGAATGTAAAAGTGAGGTTAGCCACAACTCTGACCTAAAGTTGATGTCATGTATATCACAGGCAGAATTCAGATTTCATACATTAAAAACTTGATAGAAGAGTATGTCATTCGTAATCAAGAAAATATTTAGTGTATTCAGCTAACGCCTTTAAAAAACTGACCATTTGTAAAAATAACTTTTATATAATCAAGTCTTGCATTTATGATCAAGTTTGAACATGATTAGCTAAACCGAGATGCTCTGATATCAAAATACTTAGCTTGGACTCTGAGAATTTATACAGTGATATATATATATTGGCCTGGTTCATGAAATTCATGACGGGGGAGAGGGGAGGGTGCAGGAGGTTGTCCCTCAGCCCAGCCTGTGCCCTCTCACAGTCCAGGACTCCTCACTCCTTACTGCCCACCTGCAGAGCCAGTAGGAAAGGCTCCCATCACTGTTGTGCTCAGGTGAGCCAGGAGTCCATCTTCTAGCTGAGCTGTGCTCCCCCTGTGAGAGCACACTGACCACCAGGGGGCAGCTCCTGCATTGAGCATCTGCCCCCTGGTGGTCAGTGCACAGCAAAGCAACCAGTCATTCTGGTCGTTCCACCGTGATGGTCAATTAGGCTTTTATTATATAGATGACATTTGAGGGCAAATGGCTTACTATTGGTCTAACACAGTGGTTCTCAACCTTCCTGATGCCACGATCCTTTAATACAGTTACTCCTGTTGTGGTGACCCCCAATTTCATTGTCTAATCACAAAAACAATATGTAATTACATGTGTTTTCCGATGGTCTTAGGCGACTCCTGTGGAAGGGTCGTTCGACCCCCAAAGAGGTCACACGCAACCCACAGGTTGAGAACCACTGGTCTAACATATATAAGAATCTTAACCAAAGGACTTATATGAAACACCCCAGGGAAATAGCTAGTCTGTGGTCTCTAGCAGTACCTATATTTACCTTTAAGATGATAACATATGCTAACTACCATCTAAATTTTAAGTCATCTTAAAGTTCTTATTAATGGAGAACATAAACTTTCAAGGTCAAAATAATGGAGGTAATATTTAGTGTTGGAATGTGTTTAGGGGCATTTCAAAGTTGGGGTATATCTGCTTTTGGTTTATTTTCCATCTTGTTTAAAATCTAAGCAATTATTTGTTATGTCTTAAGAGTATAATAAGGCAGGCATGGCTTTTTGTATAGGATAAATCTTCTGTTACTCTCAGAGGGAAGGGGTATGAAGGTATAGTTGTTATTCGTAGTAGCTATGTTCTAGAAAATCACTAAAAATAATGAAACACTGTACCTAGGGGAAATACTGGTTCCTGTAATTCTCTAGTCACATTTTAGTCAACCAGTTAATATAAAGCCTTGTTTTATGTGTGTTTAAAGACACCTTATGTGATATATTGTTGATTCCTTAACATTTAACTCAGACACCACCGCTCATGGTGGCACATCAGTTTTCTTGTGTTTGGGAACATTAGGCAGCACTTCCCTCACATTAAACAGGGAAATCACCAATAAAAAGCACACAAAGGTTGAAAAAAAAAAGTAGGCACTAAATCATGAAAAGAATACTTGTGTACAGTATGAAAACAAAGCAGAGCATTGTATTTTTGTATATCAGGTGTTTCAAAAGTTTCAACACGGTGTGTCCACAAATGACCAGGAAATGAGAATCAACTTATTTTGGATTGCTAACCCTTTATTTCAAACCTTTGGACTACTTAAAAAAAAGTTTCTAGGGCCAAGAGCTTTAAAGAAGAGAGTATCAATTAAAACTTAAATGCAATTGTTTTAAAGACAAGTATAAAGTGTAATAATATGCCAACAGGCAATCAAGCATGAACTGTAAAAAGGAAAACTTCATATAGTAGTTATGCCTTTTGAGTAATGTAAATAGCATAGCTGTTATAAGACAAGTATTAAGACAGGAACCACTTTAATACTAAGCAGCACAACAGCCAATTTTTCTTTCATATCAGTCAGCTTTGTTTCCTCTACTTACCTTAATCAAGTAGAAGAATCCATATTTCATTGAAGGCTATTAAGGCAAACCTACCTTTTTTCTTGGGGAAAAGGTGTCATCTATGTAGGGCTCTAGATCAGTGGTCACCAACCGGTGGTCCATGGACCACTAGTGGTCCGTGAGGTCTGAAAGGTTGGCAACCGCTGGTTTAAGGAAAACATTGGAGCAGCGGTCACCAACCAGTGGTCCACGGTCACCAACTGGTGATCCATGAAGTCCGAAAGGTTGCCGACTACTGCTCTAGATCATAATGGGTAACTGATGCAAGTATGATCGGTATCTTTTTTTTTTAATGTATTTTATTTTTTTTTTACAGAGAGGAAGGGAGGGATAGAGAGTTAGAAACATCGATGAGAGTAACATCGATTCAGCTGCCTCCTGCACACTCCCTACTGGGGATGTGCCCGCCACCAAGCTACATGCCCTTGACCAGAATCGAACCTGGGACCCTTCAGTCCGCAGGCCAACGCTCTATCCACTGAGCCAAACCAGTTAGAGCTGATCTGTATCTTTTTAATGGTGTTTTCTTACAAAAATTTGATGTAAAATGTTAATATTAGCTACTTACAATGAGCCAGCATTTTCCCAGTACAGGAAATGTCCTCACCTAAAGTTCTCGAGAAGTTCCCCAACTTTTAAGTGAAATAATGTATAACAAAACTAATTTTACCATAGGCTATTGATATAAACAAGAGTTGAGTGCCTGTCGCATCTCATCACTGTAACATTAAACGAAACATTAAGGACCTACTGTACCTCAAAAGTACTTATTTAGTACATTTTACAAGGAAAGTGAAGTTTAGTGAGGTTAAGTAACTTGCCCCAAGCAACTTGAATGAAAAGGCTGATTTTTCTCAAACCCAAAGTTCCATACTGTTAACCCCAGCAGTGTGGTACCTTTCACAAATCTGATAATCCAGATGTTTTCCTTGTTAGTACAGAGGTACTTGTCATTACACATCTAGCTTGGGGCCTTTTTGAAAGATGGTATTAAGGGGAGAAAGGAAGTTAGTTGAATGCTATAATTAAGCCCTGGGTATCTTCTCTTAATTTATTGTGTTCATTAGTAATTTGGTTCTCAATAGATATTTTAGGGGGGGAATTCCCACCCATAGCATAACCTAGATCTGGCATATCGGAGGTTCAATTTCCCTACCTAGATCCTTCATTTTGCCTTCACTGGGCCTCTGCATTGACATTAGATGACCCCTACATTACACTTTACAAAAACTGGTGATGAAAGTGGGCTGTAATGAGTGGTCCTCAAAATAAATCTTCCCCACTCTCAGAAATTCAAGCAAATTCTTTGCCAAGTATTTTCCTATGGGAGCATTTTAAGAAAAATAGTTTAGTTATTCCAGAAGACTCAAACCATTCAACAGTTGAGAACTTCCATGAAAATACTTGTATTCCACCTATTTTCATGTAACATTATTTAGAATGCTAGTTTTTTGGTTATATAAAAAACCCTGAATTGAGGGTAACCTTGAGTACCAGGAAACTTAAATGACCATTGTAAGTTGGTCTGTGTTACTGACACTGTTCAGAGTGCTGTATATCTGCTTGGAGCCAACTGTTGCCTGAGTAACAGCATATAGAAAGAACTTCTGTGTTACTTATTATTCCTCACCCAATGAAGACATAGTCTGGTGTTAAGGTATAATCTGGAACATGTTAACACTTGCTGTTACCTTAGTGGTGTCAACTAATGGAATTTCAAATATAATACTTATGTGACATTTTTCTTAACCTGAAAACAGCAAGTTGAAAAATGGAGTTCAAAGAAATTGAGGCATAAGCTCCAGGTAATAAGTATAAAATGATTTAACCAGAAAAACTATAGAAAATTTTTTGTAATAAAGTCTCTAAAGTAGAAAATTAATAGTTGCATTTGACAATAAAACAACAAGGGTATAAAACATTCAGAAAATATCCCTGTGATTTCACCCCCCCAAAAAAATCCTTTCAATCCCGAAAGCACAAATACTGGAACTTCAAGACTGGGAATGTCAGTGAAAAATAATTTTGACCTTGCTTTTGATATCCTTTAGACTGCATAACAGCATAGTTGGAAATGTCTGGGATGGACATATATAAAACACCATTTTAATTTGCCATACTTTTGTCGAGAGTACTTGGGAAATGGTTAAGTGTCACACATGAATAAACTCAAGTTAACACTAATATTGCAAAGACCCTTAAGAGATTAGGCAGTCCAGCCCTCTCTAAAATGAAATACAGAAAAAGTTAGAAGACAGTAAATTCCATTCTGTACTTACATATACAACATCTTTTCAAACTCTCAAAGAAATAGATAAGCAAACTGACTGACAGAATTCCTCTTATAAAAGCTGCATTATAACTTATCCAGGTGCATCATTATGCACCATATTTTGTTACTTGAAATAGTAATGCAGATGAATCGGACTAAAGTGTTCCGCTAATAAACCTTTTTTAAAAACAAAATACGTATTTCCTTATAAGGTTTTATGTACCACCATCATCCAGTAATTTGGGGTTTTGACTAGACTACTATTGATTGGATTTCTAGAGTAAACGATTATACTTAACCACTTGTCAAAAGTTTAGGTTTATCATGGATTATAAGTTACTATGCATTCAAGTGCACATCCTAATAAAGAATTAAAATTTTAAAATAAGGGTCAGCAAATGCCAGATAAACTTATAAAAGGTTGCAGAGAATCCAAACCATAATAATAAAGATAGGAAGACTGAATGGAACTTTACAATATCCTTTTTTTGGTCTTTAATAATTTTGCCAAACCTATAGGTAACCAGGTCATGTTCCTGGAGGTCTAGAAAAATTAAAGTGTAAAAGTAACTTTCCTTTACACGCATTTCCATAAATCACCAGTTATCTGACATAGGACTTACTGCATTATGGCCAGTTTTCTATCCATCTGTCCTTAGACTGAGCTCATTGTAGGTACAGCCAATGAGAAATGTACCTTTTAACCTCAAAAAAACTAAATCTATTTACAGAGGACACAAATGGTACTATTTCCCAATCTAACTGCAACATTGTTAACATGCCAACTTTGCAAGACTCTTCTTCGGTTAAACACTAGACTCGGCTATAGAAATACCAGACATACAGGTGATGGATTCCAGCCAAAAGAATGGCTGAAATAGAGAACCATAATAAAAGAGTAAACCACCAGCTACTTTTGCCTCCTCCTTTACTAGCCTAGGGTTTCCGTTCTTTGTGCTTGCATATATATATACCTGTACTTTCTTTTTTAAAAAATTACATGTAAACAACCTCCCTTGGCCTTATCCTAAACAATGTCTCAGGTAAGTTTCCATAAAGTCACCAGCAGTTTGATGTGCTATTTCCCTTAACTTCACATTAAAAAAGGTAATGTCAAACCCAAGAATCCTAGGCTTTCCAAGGTTTCGGGAAAAGCAGACCACTTTTGCCTTTACATTATGAAGCCCCCACTTCATGATTTAGTTCCTATTTCACGTGTGCTGGCACAATATTTGAGCTGCACAAGACCTTTAGACTAGTGTCTTGCTTGAGTATCTGTTTAATGTGCACAGTTAAGTTCTCCCATAGCAACCAACAACTAATTTAATAGCCTAAAAAGATGCACCCTCTCAAAATAAGTTTGGAATGCTATCTGAACCGACAATGGTTCTCTTTGGGAAGTGGGCTTTTCATTTCTGAACGTGAGCATGTACTATTTACCCCCTGAAAAGCTTATCAGGATTCTTCAAAACATATTTTTAAAGGACAAAACATTGGGTTTACTTATGAAATCTTATTGCTTATTTCCTTGAATATGGTTGTCAGTTCTAAAGCACTGCTTGGGCTAGCTATACCCTTTTTAAGGTGGTCTCACCTTTCTTCCTTTCCCATGGAAACAATCTTTATGGAAGGACTTTAGCGAATCTGTTCTATGTGAAAGAAAATGAATAATCTTTTTTTTCTTATACCACATTCACCAATTTGGGGATTAATGAACATATTTCTCATAACTCATAGTTAATTTGTAAACCTATTACTGAAGATAACTAAGAATAAAAAGGCCAACAATTTTACTTGTTTCTAACATTGATAGATAAAAACACATTGGTGGGTAGTAAAAACCAGGATGTGAAATTACTTCATATTGCTATTTAACATGCAAGGACTGGCTATACACAACACACCTTACTAGTACTTTAAAAAATCTGTTAGGGATTTATAAAAGAGCATTTAATAACATCACATCTTATCCTCAACAATAGGTTTAAGTGCTAGGGTTATGTGCACTAACCTGGCAATTACTACAATTTTAACTATACCCTGAATTCTCCTTCAATACTTATAAACTAAAAGTACATTTTTATGCACATAAAAAATTAACACAAGTTATGCACATAAAAACAAGACACCAAATGACAAAAAGGGCTTTCTTGCTCAGTGATCTACCTAATATTGTGGAGCTAAACTTTCCCATAAATCCACAATTGTTGTATATGACCTCACAATTAGCTTTGTAAATTGTTGCTTTTTGCAACACACTTAGTGTGAAAGTCTTCATCTTCCTAAATTATCTAAAATATATATATATAAAAAAAATACAATCATTCGTATGAGAATCTTCAAAACTATTTCCATGAGAATCAAAAAGCAAACCAGTGGCTTATTCCATATTTTAAAATTGTTCATACTTCTTTATAAAAATAATTTTAAATAATCAAAGGCAAAAAATTCTAGATTTTACTCCACTGCCCTCCAAATTTGTCTTTGATTACAATTTTATGTTCCAAAGATTTTCCTAAATCAAATGTATGATCAATTCCCTAAACCATTCTATTCTCACAGATTAAATTTTAATTGCTAAGATTTCAGGATTCATCACAAAATGATTAACTGACCAATTAATAGTTTGATATTATTTATGAGCAAGTATAAATGCTTTTTAAAAAGCAATCAGGATACTATTCTAGGCCTCTAAGTAGCTCCAACTACTTTGCAACAGTGGGTATAAAAAGTAGAAAGTTAAAAATCAGCAAATGGAAGATCAAAGTTTATTTACTACCTGCATACAAAAACATATTGCACATCAAACAACCAAAATTAAAAAAAAAAAAAAGAAAAGAAAAAGGGGGGGGGAGAAAAAAAGGAAAGGAAAAGATACTCTACTGGACTAACATGTAGTTTATACAGAATAAACCTTCTGGAAAGTGATCTTTTCAGTAGTTCAGGTTATGTCTGAATGGACATGACTAATTCAGCTTAGTGTTTTAACTAAAGCTATGTTTGATTTTTAAATACTGTACACTTTAATAAATAAACCAAACAAAGCCTCAATATAGAACAGTCACTGCCAATATCACCCAGTGTCCCTGCAGTTGAGAGTTTAACAAATGTATTCCAGTGGTCTGCAGATTTTCCTCTACATACAGCATTTTAAAAACACATCAAAACAGACCAGTTTCCAGACTAAACTAATGAAGAAATTACAATTCAGTGCAAAATATTTTAGACTGCATTTCAACTCTAGTTTTCCTCAGGTGAAGAAGTGGTTGCATATTATTAAAAATGTAACAAAAGCAGCTAATGCTTTCATAAAGAGTATTATGTCAGGGATCCCACCCCACCAACCTCCCCCCATCTCTGCCATATTTTGAAAACAAAATAACATTTCCTATAGCCAGCAACTTTTTTTAATGTTACATATACTATTCTCAAGGCACATCTGATGATATATTTTATAACACAGTAGGTGTCAAAGTATGTTTAACATATGATTTCTTCAGGATCCCTCCCCTTTCTGAATTCCAAATGGAGGAACTGAAAGTGCGATGTAAAGACTGGCGATCCATATTCTATCTTTGGCAAGCTGTACAAGCACTATTGTAAAATGTAATGTAAAAGAACTGTAAACTAGGAACTTCTTCAGTTTATGAAACACCATTCAGGACTGCTGCTTCTTGAGTGTTTTCTTCTTTTAAGGTATTAATCTTTTCTTCTCCTGGAGTACGCTGTAGCTTAGAAATTTCATCGCCAGAAGCACTAGTTGGGCCATTTATTGCCTTTTCTGAAGGACCATGCTCTTCAATCACATCTTTTGCCTGCCAAAGGGAGACAACTTTTTCAACTTCTTTATAAATAAAATCTATAGCTGAGGAGGAAAATAACTACATAAACAATAATTAGCTACTAAGTAATTTTAGTTTGATACAATGGATCAAATAATTCAAATATTCTTAAAGTTCAAAATAAATACCAATATACTCTACCTCTCTGGGTATTTCAATTCTTTGTTTCGAGTACCTAGAGGTACCTGATTACTGAATAGTATGTACTTGATTACTGAAAATTTGAACCTAATTTTATTTTAACCAGTTGAAAGCTCACCATGTAAAAGATATAGTTAATACCCTAAGTAAATCAAATAATCGCCTACTTTACTCACCTTTTTAAAAACTCCAGTTACATATAAATCCTTTAAAGCATTAAAAGAATTGAAACTTAAAGGTCTAGATCTATCACTGAGAAGAAGTATGTAGCCTATAGCTCCCCAAATTAAGCAATAATCTTTATGCCCAATATCTTTGGGCAGACTGAGCTTTACAAATGCTATTTAGAGTTCTAACGGAAAAGTATTTCAGGCTCAAGCATGCATTTCTATCTTCAGTTACCTGGGGCCAACAACAAACTCAATAGTAGTCTTTAACTAAAATAGTATTTGTTTAGTTGGGGGGAAACAAGCGATCATACAGAAAGTTAAGTAAAAATAAAGCTAAACCATACAAAAAAAAAAAAAGGCAACAAAACCTACATTTTAAATTCTCCTTACCATTTCTTTCTTGTTTTTAGCCAAAGTTTCCCTTGGGAGGTTTCTTTGTCTGCTCTGAGACTCAGCTCTAGAAATATAATCTGCAACTGTGACTGTTGAAGATGAGAAAAAAATTACAGGTGTTGAAAAATATGTCTAAAGTTTATTTATGGATAAAGAGTAATTTTACTTTTAAAATAAACTAATGGTGGGTTACCCAATTTTAAATTTTTCTTAAGCTGGGTAACACCTCCAACCAAAAACAGCTTGAAAAATGTGCCTGCAACTTAGCAATAACAATAAAAAGTTTTAAGCTGGAGATCGAGGAAGCCTAGATTAACGTCCTCTTTCACAGGAATCCAGCCATTTGCTTCTGGTTGAGTCTACGGCTGTGGCGTAAGTCTGATACAGAAATCCACAACCAAGAATAGGAAAGGCAGCATTCTAAGCCCAGACAGTATTTGGGGGGGAAAAATGGGGCAAGTTTGGTATAAATCATGGAGTGGTGTACTTCACAGTTTGAAAATTTCAGCAAAGATGTAAAAAGTTACTCAAATATTAGCTCTGTTATTTTTTAAGAAACACAAGAAATCCAAGTGTGGTATTTTATGGTTCCTTTTAAACATTCCACACTAGAAACCATTCTGAGTGATCGACAATAAAAAATTACAAGCAAACTAAAGATGACAGAAAGCCACCCTAAAAATTGTAAACATTGATCATGGTAAGAGAAAGGCCACCGTGAATTTAACTAACCACTCCCTCCTCACTTAGCCAATCTTTCAATCTTTTGAGGGACTGATTGAGGTGTGCACGTGTGTTTGCAAGTAGGAGGATGGCAGTAGTGATCTAGGGAAAAGATTAATCCAACCTAACGTCTTACTTACTGCCAACCCAGTGCCACAAATGACCTCTTGTCTACAGGTACTCTGGGCTAGTCCAACTTTATGCCTCAATCCTCTCTCTGAAGGCTTGCAACTTAGAATTCACTTATTTGAAGAAATAACAAAAGAATCATTCTCTTTCTTTGGAGGAATTATTGTGTATCAGAAACTGCTGAAGAAAAATCCCTGATTATGTGAAATATAGTATATTTTAAATTATGGGAGCAAATTAATTATGTAAAGAATGAAAAATCAAGTAAATGTCTAATTAGTCACTAGTTAGGAGGAGAATTGGTTCATCGGGTTCAAATTTTATAAAAATACATCATTTTGATGTAATATAAAACTGCATTTATTTACAATTCATTTTTTCTTAATCATAAACTGACATACTAATACTTTTATAAGATCCAAGAACCGTCTAAAAGTATTAGATGAATTTTTTAAAAGCTCAAAAAACAATGTAATTCAGAAATAATACATATCATTTATTAGAAATATCACTAAAGATGTTTCTTGTCTAAAACTGCTTCTTTTCTTCCAAATTAGAAGAAACTGAGTGTACTCATTTTGGAGCTTAAAAATCATTTAAATTCACTGTTAATGAATTATAAATACATTTAACAATGGTTTCCAAAATTGGGGAGGGGGATACTATCAAATCCACTTCATTGTTATGTCTACGTACCTGGTGATAAAACCATTCTAGGAATTATTCTAATTTGGGAAGCACCTTAATAATTAAATCCATTATATTTCTATAATTCAGTCCTCAGTGATACCTGAAGAACTCATCTACCTGGAAACCCTGACAATTATGTACAGACATAGAATAATATACTTTAATATAGTTTACCAATTAAATTAAAAGGCACTTATTTGGAAAGGTAAAAACTTACCAGTGCCCCTCCTTTCCCATAAAGGGAGGTAAAACCAAAACAAATTCAGTTGATTAAAAAAACAAAACCCCTATCTATAGCCAGTCTTTAAAATACCAGCCACTTAAAAGTTCAATACAGATGACTACATATTTAAAATATCTAGGGGAAAAAACAAGCAATTTGTGCAACATAATTTGGACCCTAGAATTTCCTCTTAGGTTAGAGGTCCAAGTTAATCAACTGGACACCACTGTATTGTCACATTCTTAGTAAAGAATATTCATTATTTAATTTACATTAAGAGCAGGAAATTTTAAGCAAATAGAACAAATTAAATAACTGTATTTAAAAGAATGTTGATATTCTTTAGATAGAGGCTGCCTTCCTAGAACTGCTGCAGAGGCAATGAGAAAATGTGTGCTTGTTCTATCTTATTTTGAGTTTTGGGTTTGTTTTTTTAGGGGGGATTGAGGAGGGAGTAGGGCAGGAATAGGCTAGGGAAGGCAAAGAATTCTAAAGATGAAAAGCAATTTCCAAAAGAACAGAGTAAAATAGGAATAAATTGCGATATGGAACAAAAGTTATTAAAAATTCCAAATTACTCAAATTTCAATTAATACCATGCAGAAATCTCTGCCTCTTCGTTGACAAAACCACTACATTATTCCTTTTATGTCCATTGACTTAGTAATAAATCACCATCCATTTAGTTAATAAATTACATTGTAATTTATCCTATAATAAGCGCCCAGCTTGAACTTTCTTATTTATAAAGTATGGCCAGATACTATATTCACTGCTGTGCCAGCTTAAGAAAATGAAATACGATCTCTTGATCTAAAATATATCTCTAACACTAAAGACAGTAGGTAAAGAAGAGAGGGGAAAACAAATATGTTCTGGAAATTTGCTATATTTGACAATATTTAATTCCTTTTAGTTTTACAAATATCTTTAAAGCATGAGTTTTTTTTTCTTCAAGAATGGGAACTAATAGCCTTTAATGGGTTTTCCCAAATATCTCTATAACCACCTAACTTAAAATTTTAAAGATAATGGAATTTACATTCCTTAGTTGGGGAAAACACATGAAAGAATTTGCTCTGGAAAGAATGCAAAATTGATTAGCTTAAAGGGGTTTTTTTTGTGAATATACATGTGATTCTCTTACACAGGAAATGGAATTATGTTCAAAATAATAGACACAACCAACAAGTTTTCTTTGAAGTTACTAAAAACATGACTACTTAAAAATTAACATTCTAAAGCTAATAGGTAAGTACTATTAATTTGAATAGTTAGTAGGTGTAGGGATAAACATCACACTACAATAAACAAAAACATAGCATGCATTCCTCTTATTAGGAAAAAAACATTTTCAAGTATTTTTCTCATTTATACTTTTTTTAAAAAAATGTGGGTATTATAAAATTCCCACAAAAATGAGGTGCTAAATGCAGATAGAGTAAGCAGGCACCATGCAAAAGCTCTCCAGTTTTGCCAATCAACCTCAATCACAATCTAACAACATAGTCCCCGGGGATGGCAGACCCCAATTCAAGTGTAAAGAATCTGCCAAGTGGACAAAATAATGGCCTTCTCAACAGTATTTCCATGAAAACAATTTGAGTAATATTAGTTCAATTAGACAGATTACTAAACATTTATGGTGTCAAGGAAGAATGCATTTCTTAAGAGTAGTAGTCTTATTAGTTGAGTAAACAATTTATGCAATGCACATCTTGAATGTATATGCACACATGTGTATATGTAAGTATAATTTATTTAGAAAGCAGACACATGACATTTTTTTTCCATGCTTATGACCTGGTGTTGTCAACAGGTCCACTCAAGTTACCTGGCTGTCTATCTTCTGCCTGACCCCTGAAACGACGCCTGCGGCTACGATTGCGTCGCTGGGGTTTTTTTTCACTATCATCTGTAATTGCAAAATTTACCATGAACTATTCTGATAAAAACAAAACAAGACAAAAACTTTGTTCCTTCAAAGATTCAAGGAAAGGGAAAGAGAAACTTTCAGTTAAATAGGGAAGAAAAAACACATAAATTACTGACAGGAAAATAACTTTCGTAGTTTTAAGCATTCCAAATAGATTTACAAAATGGAATTATCATCTGGAAATTAAGAGGGTTTTAACTCTTAAACAAACTTTATGACTTAATTTTTAAAATGCCATCATTCAGGGAGATAAAGTTTTCCTCTCCAATACAGTTTATTTATTAACCAAAGTTAATGACAGTTTAGCCCTTTGCAAATTAATGCCATTTTCATTAGTGCTATTTATAATAATTTTCATTAGTGTTATTTATAATAATTTTTAAAGAGGTAAGCTGAAAGCCCAATTTTGGTTTAGGTACAAAAAGAGTATTAAGTGCCTTGCAGTTTGTATATTTGTGTTATGCAATGGCATCAAAGGGCATTTTAATAAACCCTCTCAGTTTCAAATAATTTGACTATACAAATCTGAAAACTGGATATTTAAGACAGATACAAAGCTATCTTTGTTTGAAGCAAGCACTAAAAAATCCAATTTTCAAATTGCATATTTTTGGGTTTTTGTTTATGTGAAAAAAGCATAATACATTAACAGTATTATACAATATATATCTTTTCCCTAAGTGCTTACATACCTAGCCCATTTTCATTAACTGAAGCTGTATCAGATTCAGTCATTCCATCCATCAGAACAGCATCTTCATCAGTCCTTCGTCTACGAGACCGCCTACGACGGTTAGTACTGTGATGAGATTCGCTGGCATCAGTGTCTGCAGTCTGATCTGATTCTGTATTATCAAGTAAGCTGTATGGATTGCTGTCTGGATCTTTGAGCACTATATGCATGTCAGAGGCAAGAAATATTTGTTTAAGAGAGCTGCAATAAATAGGAATGTTTTCATCTATATTAAGCTGTATTAATTAATAATTAAGAAACTTCAATTTTGCCCCAATAAAAATATATTCTGTCTTCAAATGTTTTCTTTATCACTATTTTACCTGGAAAGTAGTAAAGATGAAAAAACTTGAAATGGCAATGAAAAATTAAAGCAAAAGATGAGCAGACATCTCAGCTTCCTACTGTTTCACTTTGACTTGTTTTGAAAATGTTAGGATATATATAGCATATTATACATGCTACTTCTGACATTCACATTCCTACTTAAACCTGACCAGAGGTTAGAAAAATAAAATTAAGGAGAAATAAATATCCAGCTAATATGAATTAATTTGAACAAAGAGCTTTTGTCACCTTTATTGAGCTAAAGGTGACTGTTGCTTCTTTTTGCTAATATTAATGGACTATTTCCAAATAATACTCAACACCTGCACTCCACGACTTATCAGAAATCCGTTACTATAAACTGAAGCAATCAAAACAAGTCTACACACACACACAAAGGAAAGAAACAACTACAAAAGTTGAAATTCTAACTGGTTATAGCACAATGTGGAAATGAGTGTTGACTAGTGCTCCCATCTCTAGAAACAAAAAGTGAAGGTGGGATAAGGTGGGGTGAAGGTGGGAAAAGAAAAGTTTTAAGAAAAAAATACCCATCTTACCTATGTGCATTTATTGCCTCCACCAATCAAATTATAGAAGAAATTCACCTAATCACGACTTTTCATTTCTAAGCTTCCATTGGTAACAGCTAGCAAGCTAGCATCTTTGCAAAAGACACTAAGTTTATCCATTAATCATAAACACTAAGTACATTTATTTATAATTCAGCATATTATATTATAAACCTTGGTAATAGTGAACAATGTGCTAAAATATAAAAACTATTTATCTGAAAACCTATAAACTAAATTTTAGGGATTAAAGAGTTTCACTGGAACTAGAGAGTACCTTTTAAAAAGTTCCTAAATTTTGTGACTTGTTCCAGTTTTTTCTAACTTGTAAGCACATCTGGTATATATATATAATACCTCCTGTTTTATATATACCTCCTGCCCATCTGGTATATATTTAATTATATATGTTTTATAACATTTAAAATACTATATAAACTTTCATAGGGCACTGTATAACATTAAGAGTGGTTTTCTTAAAGTGGTTTACAATACGTTATGGTTATTTCCCTGATATAATCTAGTCCAAGTATCCCTGACAATTCTCCCCCCAGCCCTATTATGCTAAGCAAAAACATTCTGGCAACTCTACAACTCCACTGAAGTTATAGCATTTAAAATCTTCAAAAACACATGAGTAAAAAGTTGCTTGCACACCTCAAATCTCAGTCTTCTAAACACTTCTCTTTACAACTCAATTCCTCAAACAGTAAAATAATAAAAAATATATTTTAAGTTGAATACACAATTTTTTCCTGTTCCCATAGTACACAGTGTAGCAAAAAATGGTTTTCAGTTACTTTTCAATATTAAGTACACAAAGGAATTTAGATCTTTCTGACCATATGAATTATCTGGGTCTGTCTGGCCAACAAATACGTAAACTCAATAATTCTAGAGAGAAAAAACACTCTAATTACATAAGCCCTTCAAAATTGAAGGGATAAACAAACACCTATTTTTCTGACCCAAATATTCTAGTTAACTTTCACTGATAAAACACTCTACAGGGCTTTTCCTTACACTGTTATGTTGTATTATTTTCTTCAGTGAATTCCAAGAAAAACTTCCAAAAATCAGTGGCCCCAGAAAATAAACTAATTTGTATAAAGTCACAATGTTTACAAAAAAAGAATGCTGACATAGTATATAAAAGACTACCAGAACTGATGGAGGATTTGCCACCACGTGGTCCACCACGACCTCGACCCCCTGAGACACTTCGGCCTCTTCCTCCTGGGCGTCTCCTACTGTCACGTTGATGTCGGCTCTCTCGATCGTCTTCTCCTGCCAATGACCAATCACTCAGCTCGTCTTTACGCTCAGATTCTGTTTCAGAGGGGTTAGACAGCTCAGAGTTTGTACCTTGGGAAAGAAGAGAACATAAGCCAATTTTTTATAGGAATGAAAAAAAATTAAAAGTTTCCTGCAAATCATTGTTTAAATAACTGCTATTTGGCTGCTTCAAAAACACTAAATCAAAACACTGATTTCAAAATTTCTTAATAAAGAAATGTTAATATTATACTAATAATATACTATCTACTCTTCAGATAGTTAAAACCTGAATTGTTTTACAGCCAACAGATTACAGAAAACATATAAAACATTACATATACAAATATAAAAATGCACTAAATGGGAAAATATTTTTAAAATATTGCCCATTTTTAGGTTTAATATCAAATTAGTATAGTAAATATAACTGCTACCCAATATTTAAAAGCAACTTCAATTATATTTAGAAAAATAGTTATGTAGCGTATTTTACCATTTTTTCACATTTTAATATCTCTGAAATCAGGATGTTTCTGATAACTAATGGTCTTTTATAAACTGGAAGTGTATTTTCAGTGGCTGTACATAAAACAGCTGTTTTATGAGCAAGTTTCTTAAATTAGAATACAGTATTTGAAATTACTGAACAAATTTTAAGAGGGTTATTCTAAGGAAAGACAACTTCAAATCAACAACAGATCCATGAGACAAAAATTCAGCCTGACTTTAAAAGTTTAGACCATCTCTGACTTTCAAATGACCTATTTCAGTGATGGCGAACCTATGACACACATGTAAGAGGTGACACGCGAACTCATTTTTTTGGTTGATTTTTCTTTGTTAAATGGCATTTAAATATATAAAATAAATATCAAAAATATAAGTCTTTGTTTTACTACGGTTGCAAATATCAAAAAATTTCTGTATGTGACATGGTACCAGAGTTAAGTTTTTCAAAATGCTGACACGCCGAGCTCAAAAGGTTCGCCATCACTGACCTATTTTAATAATGACCCTTTAAAAATTTAAATTCCGCAAATAATCTATGCCTTACAATATCATCATTACATTAGATTTATGTAACCCAATCACTATCACACTCATTTCCACTTCTATTCTTAGGTAGTTCTGGGGTGTCTCTTCCACCTTTTCCTTTTATCATATAACCAAACATTTTTTTCAAAGCCCAGTTCAATTTCTAGGTTCAGACCAATGTAAATGAAAACAGACCTCTCTTCTTCTCTTATTTTCTTAGAAGCAATTTATACCTGTCATGCACTGCTGCCGAAAGTTGTTTTCTATTTTTATCCCTTTTGGATCTACTTCTCACTTGGTCTATGATAAATGTAAAGGGTGCAGCTCTGTCTCATACCTTTAACTGCTCCCAGACGCCTAGCAATGAACATAACCATTTTCTGTTGAGTAAACTTGCTGCATGATTTTGAAGTTCCTTTGCTAAAACTCCCAAATAAGAGTGATTCCATACTAAACTCTAAGTTCCCTACATTTGAATGCCACTGTCATTTAATGATAAAAGCGAAACACAAGAGCTCTTCAGATACAAAAGTTAAAAGGACTAAGTATAGGAAATAAAATATGAAGTTTAACAAGTGAAGGAGCCTACCAACTTCGTTTCTCCTTGAAGCTCCCAAACACTTATTTATCATTTCATGAATAGTGAAGAAAACCTTTGGAATGCATACGAACTTCTGAACTTACAAACTTTTAAAAAAGCTTTAAAATTAACTCATAAAACTGATTCAATTTTTAATGACTCCAACAAATTAAAAGACTGGTTTTTAACAGAATTTTAATCAGATTTTCCCCTTTCTAAAATCACCCCTGAAGATGATTCACATCCTTTTCAATTATTGTGTATGCTAAACTTAATTGTTAGAGTACATTTTATCAAATCCACATGCCACCCATTCATCCTAAGACATACTTTTGTGTGCCATTAAACAAATACTGCCAATGAAAGTTATAAGACATCATCCATTATAAGACAAATACCAACTTCAGGGATGTTCTAGAGAAAATGTTTCTTATACAGTTTATATGTATTATCTCCTTTAAAAATCCTTCTGATATTAAGTGGACAAGATCTATAGCCAAATTCAAATGACTTTATTTCTCTCAAGCCCAAGTTCCATGGTTATTTAAAAAAAATAGAATGTGACACCGTCTGTAAAGATTCAGAGGTAAGAGTGCCATCTACTGAACAATTGGCAGAGCTTTCTTCAGTACCAATGATATTCCTCTACCTCTCTCAGGTAAATTTATTATCTACTCTCAACAAAAGAATTTTGCCAAAAAGTGATCGCTCATCTATAATTTGACTTGACTTCCCACAGAGGCTTATAATCCTCATCATCCAAAAAGTCAAATGTGATTATTTATACTATTAATTTGTACACCTCTGAAATCATTCAGTATATACTTAATTTCTATTACTGCTTTTCTTTTGTATTAAATGTATTTTCAGGAATATAATAAGTCCATAATTCTCAGCCCTTCACATGCTAAACAGTTTTACTTTATTGGAATTTGTTTTTCATGTTTCAATATAGGGTTAACTTTAAAAGTTAAAAAATGAAGATATGAAAGGGAAGGGAAAATTAATCTTTCAACTCTACAACAAATAAAAAATAGTACAAATTTAACATAACTGGCAACATTAAATGATTCTTCAGTCAAACATGACATGAAATTTGGATATGTAACCTGCACACTGTAAGCTTTCATATATTCATATTTTCCCTAAATGCCTTTTATTTTAGGGATTATAAGATAGTATTTTGAAGGCAGTTAGAATGAGCATAGGGAAGTAGAGAAGTAAAGAGAAAGGAAAGAATAAAGGAAAAAAATAACCAGGTCACTGCTAAGATCCAAGTCCAAATGTAGAAAATTGGAAAACTCCACAAAGCTGAAGAAGAATAAGTGAGAATTTAGGATTAGAGAATTACCGACCAGCACAATCCATTGGCCTCTTGCTATATGGGTTAGGCCCAATCCTCAGAGTAAAATAAATACATTTTACAAAAATGTTAATTAGGTTCTAATTTTTAAAGCCCTCACTTTAGTGAAATGCTGTATTTCATAAAATAATTCCAGAGATATTAATACTCAGAACTGCTGAATGAGCCAATAAAGTATATTTTAAAAGCTAGTATATATTTGCTATATGCAATTTTGGCACAGTGGTTAGAATATTTCTCCTTTTTACTTTCCCCAGAGGGTAAGCAAAAATGATTCCTAGTAGTATAGCCAGCACTATTAGACTTTTATTGGAAAATGTACACAACTGTACAGGGGAAATATTTGGAAAAAAAGTTTCATATCAATTTAATAATAAAAATGATAATGAACCATCAACGTAACAAAAACATGTTTTATTTCATTACACAGCTGTAATTGCACAGCTTTTATTGTCATTAACATAAAGTGTGCCATCACTATTACTAAGACGTATACCTCAGAACTATCTACTGCCCTCAAAGGGAAAATAAGGTAAAAAACTAACTAAATAATATTAAGCAAAATGTATCGGAGCACCTAAACTAGAACTAGTAAAAAAAAAAGAAAAAAAAGTTTTTACCATAACCGGAGGTGTAATTAGGGCCCCGACGACCTCTGCCTCTTCCACTATAAGACCTAGAACCTTGTACAGAAGAGACGGTACTTTCATCAGTGGCATATCCTTTCTCTTTTTCAGGCCCTCTGGTGGAAGAAGGTCTGAAACCCATACCAATCTGTCGTAGCTGTTCATCAATCTGTAGGCGTTCCATTCTTAGTTGTTCTACTTCCTATAATCAAAACAATAAAGGGTAAATCTTATTTGTAACTTTTTGTCTTCTTAAAGTCTAAATAAAGCTAGCGCTATACTCCCTACTAATGAAAGAAGCATCGTGGGCATTTGGTCAAGTATAATTGTGTTCCTAGTAAACACAACCTGCAAAGTCATTTGCTGTTTCAATTCACCAAACATTTACTGATGCCCAACATGTGTGCCAGTCATGCTAAGTGCTGCAGGCATGCAATGTGAAAAAAGAAAAGGACTCTCCTCCTTCAAGGAGATGTTTGATAAGCATTAAAATGACCCATTTATTAAAAAGCTAATTATTATACAATGTTACCAGATTTAGCTCTGAAGGAGTTAAAACTCTGCTAAATGAGGTTCAGGTAGCATGAATGAGAGGTACCATTAACCTACTTTCCTATCAAAATAATGACACCTGAGTTGTGACCTAGATGAACTAGTAGGCTTGATAATTCAGAAATTGAGGTCATTACAGGATGTGAAGGGAGGGTATCTAAACAAAGCTCTTGGCTTTATAAAAGTTAGTAGAGTACTGAAAGGTAAAACTTGGGCTTAGAATGCCAGATTGAATTGAGACTTACATAAAGATAAGCTTTTAAAAGAATGGAATGAGAGTATCAGGGGTGCTTTCAAAATATTAAAACAGCAGCAATGATATGACTAAAAGGAAAACATACTAACTAGACAGAGCAGTTGAGGATATTACTATACTCTAAACAAGAGAACCATAGCAGGAATAAAAGAGGAATAGTAGAAAATAACAAATACAACTTTTAATAATTTAATGTGGCTTTCTTTTCTAAAGCCCTTGCTCTATTTATGAACTCAAACAGACTACATTATAAACAATGGTTAAGGAATTACCAAATGGTATCTGATTCAGATAATACCAGTTACAAAGAAAGCCTATCTTCACTGCTGATTCTGTGTCTTGTTTGCATGTAAAGCATCAAGTAAAAACAAAATAGTTCCAGTACAGAATGTGTAGGTACATTAAGTGATAACAGTAAGGAAAGAAATGCAAAAGTTCAGAGGGAAAGAGAAACAATGTGCATGAGGCAAATGATTTTATTATGGCAAAAGATGTTTTATTTATAAATTCTCATGAAAACAGGGCATAACTGAACGTAAATTAAAAATAAATAAGTATCTAAAATTTACTACAAACATTACCAAATTAATAAAGCTTAAAGTGGGGAGCAACAATGAGATAAATGTAAATAGTATACATACCTTTAGATAAGCAATATGATACTCTAAAAGAACTTGCACATTTCCGATGCTTTCTTTAGTGCCAACAAATACAAATGGAACCATTCCCTGTAAGACAACAACATCCTCAAGCATTTAATATTTTAACAAAACTCTAGCCTAAATTTGACATACCAATATATAATTTGGAAAACTTTTCTAAAACACATAGCAATTTATATCTATTAAAGTTCAAGATTTAAAAATATACTTCTAAATATATCAATGTAATTTGAAATATTGAGATTTCCAAAAATTTGTCATATTTGCACTACAACTTAGCATTTAAAAAATTACATTTTAAATATCAGATTTTCTGGTCCATCCCCTATTTATTTATTTATTTATTTATTTATTTATTTATTTATAAATATATTTTATTGATTTTTTACAGAGAGGAAGGGAGAAAGATAGAGAGTTAGAAACATCGATGAGAGAGAAACATCAATCAGCTGCCTCCTGCACATCTCCTACTGGGGATGTGCCTGCAACCCAGGTACATGCCCTTGACCGGAATCGAACCCGGGACCTTTCAGTCCGCAGGCTGATGTTCTATCCACTGAGCCAAACCGGTTTCGGCATTTATTTATTAATATCAGCCATTCTGCAGGTGTGAGATGCTATCACATTGTGATTTTAATTTTGCATTACTCTGAGAATTAGTGACACTGAGCATCTTCAGATAACGAAACCTTCGAAGTCTGTGTTGGAGGGAATGCTTCCCAACTGTTAACATAAGTGTAACAAAGTGTAGCAAAGTATAAATATTTACACAAAGTAAAATAAGGAATTATTGGTAAGGGCATACAGTTTGTCACAGGTTTAAAAGCAAGTTAAAAGATTAACATAGACCTGGTTTACCTTGATGAATTTTAGAGGAGGAAGGTTTTTAAAAAGTAGAAGAGAATTAAGATACTAATTGATGATTTCTTCTTCAAAGAAATACACTTCTAGCCATGGTTTGGCTCACTTCTAGCCACTGGTTTGGCTCAGTGGATAAGGCATCGGCCTGCAGACCGAAGGGTCCCAGGTTCAATTCCAGTCAAGGGCACATGCCTGGGTTGCAGGCTCAATCCCCAGTAGGGGGCATGCAGGAGCAGCCGATCAATGATTCATCATTGATATTTCTATCTCTCCCTCTCCTTTCCTCTCTGAAATCAATAAAAATATATTAAAAAGAAGATAAAAAAAGAAATACACTTCCAGCATACTATTGGCTAAGGAGAATGAGTATAGCCTAAATAAAGTGATCCAATGTGTTTCAGTGTCTCTTCCCATTTTCTTGACTTTATAGAATAGTTCCTTATGGAACTAAGTGTAGCTTAAGAACTTTTGATTCTATATAAGAAACTACTCTATGGCTTATTTTCAAACTGACTTTTTAAAAATTTAAGTGGTGAATTATTTATTTATGTATTTTTAATCCTCACCCAAGGATATTTTTCCCATTGACTTCTAGAAAGAATGGAAAGGATGGAGGAGGGAGAGAGAGGTGAAAGGGAGGGAGGAGGGAGAGAGAGAAACATCCGTTTCAGAAAGACACATGGATTGGTTGCCTCCTGCACAAGCCCCTACCGAGACTGGGGAACTCTTAATCTTTTTTTTTTTTTTCAATATATTTTATTGATTTTTACAAAGAGGAAGGGAGAGGGATCGAAAGTTAGGAAACATCGATGAGAGAGAAACATTGATCAGCTGGCCTCCTGCACAACCCCCACTGGGGATCAAGCCCGAAACCAAGGTACATGCCCCTGACTGGAATCAAACCCGGGACCATTCAGTCTGTGTGGGCCGACACCCTATCCACTGAGCAAAACTGGTTAGGTGGGAATTCTTAATCTTAAATTAAAAAACAAACAAACAAACAAACTTAATTAATTGAACATTTATCAAGTGCCTACTCTATAAAATTCATTGTGATAGGGGAAAAATGAGAGGGGGAGAGGGAGAGAGGGAGAGAGAGAGAGAGAGAGAGAGAGAGAGAGAGAAAATTCAGATTTGATTTCTTGAGTTTATTACCTGGCTTGGAGATGTAAGATAAACCAGAAAATGTAAAAGAAAATCATTACATACCCTAGTATACCAACAGTAATTACTACGAATACAAAGGTCATCTCAGACCAGAGATGAGTCACCAAAGATTTTGGAGAAAGCAAGTTATAAAACACTCCCCAGGGGATTTAGGTGGCTTAAACTGTGGAATGGTGACCCGAAATAAACCATTACCAAACTTCAGATTCATTTTAACATAAAATGTTTAGGAAATTGAAAAAATTCTTTATAGTATTATAGATTTTCAGCTTCTCGTAAAAAATATCAGATGATCTAGCAACACAATGCAGCATTCCCACACATCAACCAACTTCAAACTAAGCAGCATGTTTCTTTTACAGAAAGATACTTGGTGCCCTCCCACCCCTATCTTGTAAATCTCAACCTGCTTAATCATTTAACATGATTTTCTTGGTTTCTGTAAGCATTTAAATTTAACCTAGCACAGAAATGGAACAATTGACCAATTCTACAAACTGAAAAGTATAAATTTTTATATTTGAAGGAGAACCTAGAATTCACTTGCAACAAGATGGTAAATATTAAAAATCAATTGGGATAAATAAAGGTAAGGGAAGATGACATAGTAGTATCAAGCCAAGAAATTTATACTTGAGTTGTTTATTAGCCTTTGCCAGTAAACATCATGATCTTCAGACTAATTTTAAATAGTGGTAGTATGCCAATAGATCTCTATTATCTTATATATTAAGCATAAAGAGGGAAAGTGACCATAATAGTATGAAACATCAATTTTATTCCTTATCTCAAAGGCATCTTAAAGTCATGCAAAAATGGTGAGAAAGGAAGGAGGGTTTGCTTAAGAATAAGTAAAAATTACTTGAGATTTGTAGTAATTTTCAAAACAGTGCAAAATGAAATCAATCTGAGCCACAAGTACTCATATGTATAACACTATTCATTTGTTTTTCCTCATTCATTTTCCTCCACATTCTAACTAATTAAAATGAATAAAGGAAGTGACTATCTTTGATAGGCATCATTACAACATCCTTAATGTGAAGCTATTTACTTACGCTAAATGTCTACAGCTTTTTGTTTTGTTTTATGAGACTGATTCTATCCAATAGGCTAACAAACTCTCCAAACAGTTATCTATTGTGCAAAACTGAAGAAGTTATGTATGAGTATATTGCTGGAAGATAATTTGTAGGAAAATTCTTGCCTTATATTCAAACATACAAAGTTTAAGTCAACTATACAGAGTTGATTACTGAAGCCACAAAATAAAGAAATCCTGGAAGTGATCTATGAAAGCAAAGAACAGCACTGTAGACAAGATATCTACATATGAGAAGTAGGACTGAAAAGAAATTTCAGAAATTTCATATCAAAATAGCAACAGAAAACCTTACAGATTTCAATTAAGAAATAGTGCTTTCAGATTCTATAAAAATGCTAGGGAGAGTTGTCAGGAATTCCTTCATAAAAGACTGTATTGTTTAGTATCAAATTGAACAGCTTTACATTCTAAGTGTAAAAGGGACTGTTAATATGATCAAATTGAAGGCTTTTATTAAAAAATTGGCATTTTACCCAAGTACTGAGAAACCAACTAAGAACCCAGGGCCCATGATGAAAAGCAGACTTGATAAAAGAAATATTAGAAGGAACAAAACTTTTTAAAAGTCCATTGCACTAGAGTGTAAGTAGCTCACTAGATATAATTTCATAAAACAATTTCCAAAATACAAAATAACATGAAGTCAGCTAAGAAAAGAATATGAAAGGAAACACACACACACACCACAAAAAAACCCCAGGCCAATTAAATTACATTTTAAATACTCACATCTTCTCTAGGTAGTTTATTTTCATTGTCTCCTTCAATTCTCACCCGAACCACACCAGACTTGTCCACTATTTCTTGAATAACTTTGCCATTTTTCCCAATTACTTTTCCTTTAATAAGAGAAAACAAATGTAATGGTAAGTTAAAAATCAATACTGCTAACCCTTTCAAATAATTTATAACTTGCTATCAAATTAAAAAAACCAAGCTATGCTCTATCTTTGTATTCTCATTAACTCACCCCTAAAGACTACTGAGAAGTTTTATTGTAGGTCTCAAACTTCCTCTCTCCAGCAGGCTATCTTTAACTGGGTTGACAATGCTGCTCACATGGAAAACATTCTCAAAGTCTAAATAAACTTTTAAAATGTACTACATCATTTTTATATTTTTAAAATATCAAGTCCAACCCATTTCTTGTACAGAGGCAAAAAAAAAAACCCCTATCTTAGCATTAATCAGATCAATTTGTTTATATTCATTATATATCATAATTATTCAAACAATTAACAAATTAAATCTTGAATTTATTTTCAAGTTTCTATTTATTCAAAAGATAACTGTGACTTGAAGACGTAACTTTTAAAATATTCCCTTTGTAGAAATTAAATGTTAACATTTAACAAGTATAACATTTTACACCAGTAAGTTTTTAAAAAGTACTTCACAGCTATACAGATACATACAACATGTGTCTGGTATGCTGTCTTCCTAGATATGAAATACTATAAAATGACATTAAATCCAAATTATTTACCTTCTCTATACTTAACCTCTAAGTGTCAAACAGCAGTACCCAATAATTAAAGTATCCAATAATTAAAGGACAACCTAAAAAAGAAGCATGAAGATTTCTCTTCCCCTTAGGAACTTATTAGTTACAACATACATTCACATAAAATAACAAACCAATACTGCGGACTGTTACCTGGGAACAGTATTTTCAGGTAACCTTCCCTACATGAAACGATGTATCTCTTATAAAATTAACAGCAACACCATATATGTTATTAAACAAGTCCATGTTATTTAAGTCCAAATCCCTAATAATTTTTTTATTGTTAAAGTCAGCAATCTATTTCCACAATAAATTAATTTTGGTTGAAAGGGGTGAAAATTAAAATTTTCCTACTGCATGCTTGAGAGAACAAGTTTTCATTAAAGAATGAGTAAGGGAACAATGGTAACAGTAAGCCAGCCAATACAGCAAAGACACTATTATAGATTTTCTGTCCCTATTCTCAAGCCTCCTTCCCCACTAATAACCCTAACTTTAAAAGCAACAGTGATTGAATAGGCAAAAAAAATAAGAGTAGGTCAGGGAATTCACATGTCTTCTCTTAGCTCTAGCAGCAGCATATAAAAGCAACCTTCATTTTTAACACAGTGAAGCTCAAGCAGCAACTCCATCCTTGACCCTGCTAAAAATAAGCAAATATCTTTTCGAAATAACGAAAGTCAGGATGATATGTCATAACCCTCCCACCCCAATCTTAGTGCCCCTTTCTTCTTGTGAACTATATTAGTGGTGAGTGAACATCCATCACCCTTCTGGGGTCCGTGGCAAGGACCTACCTGCAAGTTTTATTTTAGTACCATCAGAGACCGTCAAAATTTTAACTGATCATTTCCATAGTTTAAATTCCAAAGCATACTGATAAACTGAAGCAGACCTGTAGTATAAATTGAGTATTGAGCAAAAATGCTGAAGGGACAGAGTAGAGAAGTGATTAAGGGAAGGCTTTTAGGAGGATAAAGATTTCGATTCATTTTCAAGTCAATGTTCACATAGTACTTTTTCTTTTTATTTGGAAGGGGTGGGAATGGTCAAGTTCTAGAATTCTTGGGAACCTGAATGTGTAAAGGAATCCTCTCTGGAACTTACCCACCAAGTAGTCCTCATTCCCTTTTACTCCTCAGTCCTCTTTTCCTCTTTCACTTGGACTAAGAATGTATTACTTTTCAAAAGTCTGCTTCACCCATAAAACATTTTGGAGGAAAATGCAGTATTATTATACACAATAACCAATTGAAATCTTTATACTTCTTCTGAAAATTTCACCAACGTATAATAGTTGCTGCTAATGTATATTTCCTAAAGAGTACACAAATAACCCAAATCAAAGCCAACCAAGACAGGTAGAGGAAAAAAGAGACATGACAGGCACAGACATTGTTGCACAAAATAAATAAAGAATCAGAAAACTACAAATATATCCAATTTCCTCACTTCTGAAATATCTGGACTTTTTACTCAAAATTAACACTACCACAAACTCTCTAAGATCAAGGCTATCTTCTACAGAATTCTTGAGTTGGAAAAGAACCCTGATTCTCTAGTACATACCTCAAATCATTTTTATAGGTAAAGAAACCTAAGTTAAATTACACTCTGTAAAGCAGCAAACCAATGTTAGTACTGATAGATGTCAATAACTGAGTAGAATTTAAACAAAATGGGGATCATTTTCAAAAGCAGCTTTCTTGTCTACAGTGATTTCATTTGACAATAAATACTTCATATCATAATACTAAAAGTATTCTACAGAGGACAGTGATTTCCAAGAACAGATAAAATAGTTTGCTTAATTGGCAGTATGTCATAACTATCCAAATGTTCAGGCAAAATTGAAAAGCTTTTTATATAGTAGCTGAGTAGCAACAAAATCCAACTTGTGTTGTATATATAGTCTTGTACCAGAGTATTCTAGCTGTCATAGGCCTTAGAAAAACATCTTTATCTAGTGGGAGTTTTTGGTTTTTTTTAAATTTTTCCCCCAGTGTTTGTTTTATAGAATTTGCCAAATAAAACACTGATAGCAAAAAAAGGGGGAAAAAAAATCATTTCTTAAAGGCTGAATAGGCCTAATTATAAAATGGAGCCCAAACGGCTCTATTTCAACAAGGTAAAAAATTCGATAGGTGACGAAAATTCATCTCTCCTAGTAAATTAGTAAATTTCACTACCTTATGGTATTTTTATTTTTATATTAAACTTCTAGGATAATCCATGAGTATTTAACATGTGACAAAAGCTTTCCCATTTGTCTCAATTAGCATTTAAAAGGACAGACAGCACAGATCTACAGGATATTAATAACAAAGCTATTCAACAACTCACTCCAAGCTATAATGCTCACTTAACTCCAGATTCAAAATGTGTCACAACTTATAACCCATGGGCACAATAGTCTTCATTAATGTCATCCAACACGTAACAGCGAAACCTCCTATCATATCATCATCACCATCCTCCTCTCCTGCCCATATACCTTTGCAAAAACCAATCATTATTTATTCAGGGTCTATTGTGTAAAATTTTACTATTTATTACCATATTGTAAATTCACTCTTACTTTCTCTTTGGTACTAAATAAACAAAAAAATTTATCATACATTTTCAAAAAGTACTTACAATTTTGATAAACATGAATAATAAAAAGACATTAAGTGAATGAAAATAGTAAGAAAGAGCCCAAGGTCTAAACTGGCTTAAGAAAAATTGTAATGGCAAACTGTTATAAAAGCCATGGGTCTTACTAGTGGGTTACCCTGTACAGAAGATATCCTTACTTTTTATCACAACGAACACAAGTCACATACAATGTTATTACTGAAATAATGAAAATAAGTATGGTTATCAAAATACTTAACTGTAAGTAAAATATCAGACAAAACTAATTTTCAATTAAGTCACTATAATTAAATAACATTTTTCTTTAACATATAGAAGAAATACCTACCAACAAGATTCCTAGGAACCTGAATAAAATCCTCCACAAATTCCAAGAAACCTCTAGCCTTTTTTACAGCATCAGCACTCTGGGACAGTAGAGAGGGAGAGAGAAACAAACATGAAATAAACCCTGAATAAACCCCACAGTCCAAAACAAAAATATGAGAAATGAGGAAAATCTGAATTATGACATTCTAGTAACAAGCTCAGCCTACTAGAGTGACCTTTCAGGTCAAGTAATTCATTAAGTACCTTTTTTTAAAAGCAGTAATTAAAAGGCTAGGAAAAAATTACCATTAGAACAAAAACAGGTTAGTCATCTCTAAGGTCCCTTTTACTAGTAAGCTTCTGAAAAAATTAGCAAGAAATTAACTTACTTATGTTTACCAAATTTAAACCCATGAAAATATATTTATTTGGTCCATTTTCCCATGCTAAATATCTCCAGGGGAATATTAAAAATAAATTGTTCACATTGTCTATACTGTCTACATTTTTTTCTCTCCCAATTCTCACAATGATTTACTAAGTTGGTTTTGCAGAGATGCATTAGAAAAAAGTACCTATCAGTAACATCATTAAATTCCTAATTTCTCCTGGGTACAATTTTAAAAGACTGAAGGATGGAAGAGGGGGAAGAGGAATTCAGTTCTCAGTAACATTAACTTCCACTTTTACTGCTTGTTCTTTAATAACCTTAGATCAATTGTATTGTGTACTCATGTAATACACCACATACAATAACAATTTAAAAAATGTATTTAATCCGCATAGGTTATAAAATACGCACTATTATACTTCTCATTTACAATGAAGAAAATTATACAAGGAGATTAAGTAACATTCTCCAAACCCACTCACGGGTAAACATAGAATTCTAATTCAGCCACTATGACTCCAAAGCCTTTCATCTTAATTACTCTGTTATAATGCCCATGTCTAAAGTCTTCAGGAATAAAAATCAGGTCTCTGGTCAGATTTATGAAAAGCTAAGACTTGAAATTATCACCCCAAAAAACACCTTATCCATACATTTTAATGTGAAAGATGGTCTCAATTAAAAACTTGAATTATGTATTTCTCAGATTTTCCTATCCACACAAATTTAATTTTTAGTTACAAAATATTATCTAAATTCAAGTTCTACCAAAGCTGTTTTATTATATTATTTACAACTGCCATTGCCCAACACATAATAAGAATGCAAAAAACATTTGAATAAATTATTTGTAATGCACAGAAAACTGAGTTAAACCCAGAAGCAGCTTATGGTTAAGAAACTTCTGAAAATAGTACACATTACTCAAAAATCTTTCATTGCTCTATATAATACAATATCATCTTCAATTCACACACATATGTATGATTATTAGTCTGAATGATTTTAAAGTGTTTTCACTGGGAAGCTGAAATTCCAAATAAATGTGATCAATGCTTTAGCAAAGTTATCCTAGGTAAGGGACAGAAAACAGCTTACCTCTCCATAGATTCTAAATGTTCCAGTATCTTCATCTAGTTCAATAGCTGTAACTCCAGGAACCTTCCTAGCTTGCTGTATGTTACTACCATGTGTTCCTATTGCCAGGCCCATCAAATCTTCTCTCACAACAAATTCCTCATGAAAAGCTGCTGCAAGTTGTTTTGTACACTAGTAAAAGAGGTAAATTAGAATTTATTACAAAAGATAAAAAATACAAATGGTTTTCTATAAAGCCATGTTCACAGCATTATTCACAAGAGTCAGGAACTGGAAGCAAACTAAATATGCAGACTGATGAATGAATGAACAAAATGTGATTTATTCATACAATGCAAATTATTCAGTCTTAAAAAGAGAATGCTGGCATGCTACAATGTGGATAAACATCAAAGGCATTGTGCTTAGTGAAGTAAACAAGTCACAAAAAGACTAATGCTGTATGATTCCATTTACATGTGGTATCTAGAGTAGTCAAACGTATAGAAACAGAAAGCAGAATGGAGATTGCAAGGGGCTGAAAGGGAAGGGGGAAAGGGAAGCTGTTTAATGGGTATATAGTTTCAGTTATGCAAGATGAAAAAGACATGGGGATCGATCAACAATCTGAATATACCTAACACTACTGAGCTGCACTAAAAATAGTTAAGATGGTAAATTTTATGTTATGTCAACGTTACAATTTGAATAAAATAAAGGAAAAAGGAATAAAGGAAACTCATATGGGTCACATAATGGAAGGGGAAAAAATGGTTTGATAAGTCTATTAGTCATGGCCACAGAAAGAGTAATTCTAAAACAATTTCCCAGAATAACTGATACAAGCAGCTCTCCAATTCAGATGATTTATGTTTCAAAACTCATCCCCATATTCTACTTGTAACTTTTAAATTTGTAAGGGTATTAAAAGTTGTCTTAAAGATAAACAAAGTTGTCTCAATTTCTCTAGACAGTGTGTATTTGCAAGTCTCCTAGTGATGAGCAGTAGTATTTTAGGACAGGATAGAAAAGCAACAATAGGTTCTTTTAAAAATTATTTGCTATGTGTCCTACTCTTCTCTTATACAAGAATCCTATCCTATATAATAAAAGGCTAATATGCAAATCGACCAAACAGTAGAACAACAGGTTGCTATGACGCGCACTGACCAACAGAGGGCAGACGCTCAACACGGGAGCTGCCCCCTAGTGGTCAGTGCACTCCCACAGGGGGAGTGCCGCTTAGCCAAAAACCAGGTTCCTACACCAGGCTCATGGCTGGCGAGCATAGCGGCAGTGGCAGGAGCCACAAAATAGGTCCCAAGTTACCTTACCTAACAGTAAAGTAAGTAATTTTGAATCAGGGAGCTTGTATATACTAATAAAACTGGGACACACAAAATACCTTTTATGAGTAAACTCACTTACTTCTAAATGCTTAGTGGCCTCTTCATTTCTGGACATAAGCATCAACTTCGTACGAATACTTCGCAAATGCATGTCACTTAAAATATTTACTCTCTTCACAGTTGCTTCACTGGCAGACTATAAACAAACAAGTTAATCACTCAAAACAACCATTTTTCAAGATAATACAAACAGGACCGTCATAATAAAGCCTTCCATGATTCTCATCAACTACACTTCTCTCCTCACCTAACATACACCCCTCTTCCCAGAAGTAACCTTACTTTCCTTCCTGAATTCCCATGTTATTTAATTCTGCTATTCATATTGTGATGGGGGGTGAGAGGTTCCAATACACCACACATTAAGAATTAATTGTATGTTAAGAATATCACATGAAAACTTCTCCTCCTTCAGAAAAGATAAAAATTTAACATTTTATAACTACAAAAATTTTTTCTCCCGCACTGTATTAACAAATTCACTATACACCAAGTTAGCTTTTATTTTTTTTTTGAACATTTAATTACAAAATTTCTGCAATATCTAATAACTACCTAAACTATGGAGTTATCTTACCAGTATCATTAGCTGAGTGGTTTCTGGATGGTAAAAAATCCTGCATGCTCCTACTGCTTTCTTAAAATCTTTATGTGCATTTTCATTAGCACACCTATGGAGAAATTAATTCATGTGTAAGATCTAAATAACAGATTAAATTTAGAGGCAAGTATAATACAAAACCCAGTATCTCATTTTAACACCACCCATTAAAACTTTTGTTCATTAATAAGATGTTCTATCAGAAGTTTTTTATTGGGTATTTGGGGAAAAAAAGAATTTTGTAGCACTTAAAAATTCCTAATTCACAAAATAATAGCAAATAAAATTACTCACGCCTCTCTCAAATCTTCGGGTACATCCACTGTGCACTTAAAGAAGGTATTTTTTTTGACAGTTTTATTTTGATTGACAGGCCGAAGTCGTTCAAATGTGACTATTTCATTGTAAGTGGCATCACAAGCAGCATATTCAATGACATAAAACTAAAAGACATCAAAATACTTTAAAAATCCCATCTGAACAAAATTAATAAGCTTTAAATGAAGTTCTAATTACCTTGCTCAGTTTAAATAGTAGACCCTCCCCCTTGTGGCACAAATGCTAAGAACAGCTTAGTTACATCAAATTGATTTCCCTAAAGTAGATTATAGGTTTTCACAAGCAAGAACTTTGGTAGTCCTCACATGCTTAGGGTGTATCTCTGGAGAGCAGCCTTGGTGTTTGCAAATTCAGAACACAAATAGAAATTAATGTTGATGAATATATGAAATGTGTGACCAATTATTTCTAAAGTAGGCTTTTAAAAACAAAACAGAGTTGGAGTAACATTTATAGGAACCAAGAGTTAACATTACTTACTTCTCCTTTCATCATTCGAACTTTAGCCAACCACCATCCACAAGGTTCTTGGTCATTTGCTCTTGAATATACCTGAAAAGGAAAAAAAAAATGCCCTCAACCATTGATCCTAAAAGGTTTCCGATATTTTAAATAAGAACTTAATATAAATGCCAAGTCCCTTTAAACTTAAGAATCAAAAATACTATAGTATTGAAACTGGTGTACTAAACAGTTTAATAAGACTTATGTAAACCTACATTTTACTGCTGAAAAACAAAACAACTTTTTTTGGGTAATTTAGGTCCTTGAAAATCAAATTCAAATTCATGAGGGTTTACTAAACAAATATTAAATGCTTCTTACAAGGTAGTTTTACACAGTGTAAAACAACAATTTCTGTTACCATTCTTCATCTTCAAACACTGCATTTTGATGGTTCAAGTAGCAGAAGGATAAGCTAGAACTTATTAGAGGTGTATTGTAAATCTGATGACAGTATTTATAAGATGCTCAAATTAAGAATTCTTTTCAGAAGTGAAACACCATAGCCTGGCCTGTGCGGCTCAGCGGTTGAGCATCAACCCAGAAATCAAGAGGTCATCAATTCGATTCCCAGTCAGCGCACATGCCTGGGTTGCGGGCATTGATGTTTCTATTTCTCTATCCATCTCCCTTCCTCTCTTAAAAAAAAAAAAAAAATCAGTAAAAACATTAAAAGGAAAAAAAAGGTTATAAACCCTACTTTAAAATTCCTTCAAGGATATGACATTTAGATCCCTTGCCGAGGAACCTAGATCACATGTACTAAATGGTTAGCTGAACAAAAAATTACACATATTAATACATCTAGCAGAGTACATAAGTATCTTACAACACCTATCTAAAAAAAGTGTGTATGTTCTGTATCTGTAATTATGAGATATTAACATTATACATTTAAAAAGTTTCCATTAGAGATTATAGTTATGTCTTACTAGAGGCCCGGTGCACGAATTCATGCACAGGTAGGGTCCCTTGGCATGGCCAGGTGGGGCCACAGGAGGTTGGCTGTGCGAGAGCACTGACCACCAGAGGGCAGCCGCTCTTGCATTGAGTGTCTGTCCCCTGGAGGTCAGTGCGCATCATAGTGACTGGTCCACCGGTCATTCAGTCGCTTAGGCTTTTATATATGGAGATGATACAGAAGCTTTTTATTTTTATCTTGCTAATTCTCACCCAAGGATATTTTCCCATTGATTTTGCAAGAGAGTGGAAGGGAGAGAAACAGCACATCGATGTGAGATACATCCACTGGTTGTCTCCCACACGCACCTAGGGCTCGCGGAAAAAGCCTGCAACCAAGGTACATGCCCTTGATCTGAATCGAAGCCGGGACCCTTCAGTCCGTGGGCTGACGCTCTTTCTACTGAGCCAAACCAGCTAGGACAATACAGCAGCTTTTTAAATGTATTTTCAATATATGGAAAATGGGGGGGCTGAGAAGAGAAGACTAAACTAAGGTTACTCTTACAGAGGTGGCCAGAGAAATCTATCAGTACGTGTTAACAGCAATCTGTAAGATAAATGCAAACTATTGATACATAAATAGTTTTGAAAAGCTTGAAGCTTCTCTCAAGATAATCTAATTGATTTTGGAAGCAATGTAAAATCAAATCTGTAAATGAGTAAGCCAAAACCTTATGATCAACGTTAATGTACACCATCAGAAAAAAAGCTTTAAAAAAAAAAAAGAAAGAAAAAGCCTTTGTACCAATTAGGCTCCAAGGGACTCAATTTTAGCTTTTGCATTTCTTTAATGAGCAAATCTAACTACTTTATGACTTTTATCCTTTCTCATTGGTCTTCCAAAAAAATAAGAACATTTTAAAAATAGAAAATTACTCTATCTTGAAATTAGTATATGAATCCTGTGACTCCTTTTATATATCTAAGGTGGAATCTAGTGATATTTTTCTTCTATCTTGAAACAATTTGCTATTTCATCATCATTCAATTATTCCCAACTATGATTTTTTAAAAATATAAAGGAAACAGAAAAATGATGGTATTACTTGGAAGGATATAACAATGAAATATATCATTACTACTCTATCACCCTCTAGTTTATTGCATAGTCTTTCAGGAAAATAAAGACTAGAAACACCATTTTTAGTCTGCTTTTGGATATTGCTGAACAGTTAAGAATTCATAATTATTATTTTCAACCTATAATTACAAAGAGAAAAAACTTTACAGAGGCAAGACTTTCACAATTATTAGAGACTAGAAGCCCAGTGTATGAAATTCGTTGGGGGGGGGGGGGGGCAGGAGGAGTGGTGTCCCTCAGCCCGGCCTGCATCCTCTCCAATCAGGAACCCCTCGAGGGATGTCCGACTGTGTACCTAAACCGGCAGTCGGACATCCCTCTGGCAATCCAGGACTGCTGGCTCCTAACTGCTCACCTGCCTACCTGCTTGATCGCCCCTAACCACTCTGCCTGCCGGCCTGTTCGCCCCTCACTGCCCCCGCATGGCATTCTCTCCCCCAACTTCCCCTCCTTGCCAGCCTGCTCACCCCCAACTGCCCGACCCCCAGCCTTCTCTCCCCCAACTTCCCCCCTTGGCAGCCTGCTCACCCGCAACTGCCCCCCCCCCAGCCTGCTCGCCCCAAATGGCTCCCTCTGCCAGCCTGCTTGCCCCCCAACTGCCCTCCCCTCCTGGCCTGATTGTCCCTAACCACCTCTGCCTCAGCTCCGCCACTATGGCTTTGTCCGGAAGGTCTCCCGGTCTAATTAGCATATTACCCTTTTATTAGTATAGATATCAGACTGGTGCCAAGAGCCAACAGCACTCCAGATTCTAATGATCAATATGAATTTATCTCATAAGCAGAATCTCAGACTATGAAGTCTTCAAATGACAATATCCTAAATCAATATTCCCAATCAATACATTTCTAAGGAGAAAAAGGAAATTTAGTATTCTCACCCAGTTAATCATTCAACTGGGACTCCATTATACAAAATCCTGCAATAAGCAGCTAGACCATTCTTGTTTTTCTATAAGGACACATAACAGTATTGTTTCATCTTTTATGTCTGCACACCAAAATATACTCGATTCAGTTAATAAGTGGCCAAATGCCACAGGTAGATGTGTATACAAAGATGACTAGAAAGAAACAGATGAAAAAATGCAAAAAATTCAGTGGATTAGTCAACCCAATTGGTTAAATATGAAAATAGTGCAATTTTTTAAAATGGTGTAATTATAGCACAAAGAGGACAATGCTTTGTTCAATAAAATTAGAAGCCACCAACAGTTCCAAATATTCTTAAAGTACTACATCCTGATAATTCATATGCCAAATGAACCAGAATAAACTAAAATTAGAAATGCATTTAAATTTGATATCAATATTTATATGATGTTTTGGGTTTAAGTATAATAGCTGATGAACAGAAATATTTAGGGAACTATACTCATTTTAGGTATATTTATTATCAAAACCAAGGAAATGTGTAATATAAAGTTGGATGCCCTAGCCAGTTTGGCTCAGTGGGCAGAGTGTCAGCCTGCGGACCAAAGGGTCCTGGGTTCAATTCCCGCTCAGGGCACATGCCTGGATTGCGGGCTCGGTCCAACGTGCAGGAGGCAGCCACTCAATGATTCACTCTCAAAATTGATATTTCTATCTCTCTCTTCCTCTCTGAAATAAATAAAAATATATTTATTTAAAAAAAAGTTGGATTTGCTATGTTTAAATGCTTATCAAGGTATCTCATAATGTTGACTATTGCCATCCTTTCATTTTTACTTCTGAAAAAATTATATGTAAAGTGAATTAAAAATATTTTTAAAACCAGTAAAGATGGATTACTGGCCCCAAATGATAAGTGATGACTATTTTCCCTAGCATACTAAGGATTAAAAACAAAAAGGAAATCCTAAAAACAGAAAATTCTTACCAATTCCAAGCACTAGCTCAGGAAGGCAGTTCAGCTAGCTGAAGTATCTTTTAGTGACCTATAGTGAATGGGTGCCTCAAGTTTAAGTGCTGTAAAAAACGGGTCTTAAAACTACCTTTATTTTATTTCTATTTTTACCAAAGCAATTATAACCTTCTAGGAATCTGGCTTGCTATGTAAGCTTACCTACTAAAACAGAGAATAAACCATTTTGGACTGCTTTGAGGCTTTACTTCTCATTGAACAATGAAATGTTGTATCCCATTTTACACTTACATCCATCTCTGTAAATCTCATTAATAACTTCATCCCTGAAAGACAAGGCCACTGTCATGAAGCCAACAATGAGTCTGTCTCCACCTGAGTGCTGTGAGTCAAATCACATCCTTGATAAGAGGTCTTGTATCTCGTGCAATTTTTTTTAATCACTTTAATAACCCAGAATTAAAACTGTACCCTAGTGTACTATGTTCCAAATGTTGATTACTAAATTCATTTACAACTATGCTATTGGAATAAGAGCACTCATAGAAATCTCCTTCTTCAGATTTCACTTAAATCTCCAAACTGTTTCGAGGGAGCAATTCACACTCTAAAGCTACGGCCCTCTTTGCTTTCAACACTAAATTTCTTCAAATCCAAAAAAAAAAAAAAAAAAAAATAGCTCAAAAAAGCAGGAGATTAAGGAGTGCCCATGGGAGACCTAAAAACATAATAGTAATCAGATTAAAGGTTTGAGTGAAAGATGGAAAATGAAGAATCAAATTCCAAAAGCCCACTTAAGGATTCTTTCTAACAAATGACTCCAATTCAAACCTTATTACAAAATGGTTTCCAAACTGTAACTAACACACCAAATTGTGATTTAAAAAGAAATTCTAGGGTGATGTTGCTAACTTTTCATTTATGTTAATAATGTTCAACTATGCCTTTCAAAGTCACAACCAAACAGAGATAATAAACACCAGAGGTAGGAAAATTTTACCAGTTTTCACAGAACTATAAAGAAACTTCCTAAATAATGTTAAGCACTAAACTGATTATCCTATATAATAAAAGGCTAATATGCAAATAGAATGAATGATGGAACAACCAACCAAACAATCGGTCCCTATGATGTGCACTAACCACCAGGGGGCATGTG